GCTGGTGTTTTCTTCCTACCCCATGAGGATAGAGAAGCAAGAGGCTTTGAACTTGAACACAGGGCTTGTTCAAGAGTTGTTCAACCTGCTGTGCTAGTCACCTTCGTCCAGGACCAGAGAAGAGGCACTGCCTTCCACAGCCTCCTGTGGACTCGAGAGTCCTGTAGGGTTAAGGGGAGTTCATTCTAGGGGGCTGCGAAAAGCCTGGGGCTGGACCACATCAGGGGAGGGCTAATGGAATGTGGGGGGATGAAGCTACTGTGGAAAAGTCAGGGGCGAGGTGCCAGGGCCTTAGCAGAGGCAGAGCACCCAGAAGGCAGTGGAGATAAAAGTCCAGGCCGCAGATTAGCTCCAGGATTAGCTCTGTCTGCTGCTCTAGGCTGCTCTGGGCTGCTTCTTATCTCCCCCACAGCTCTGAGCCCTGGCCCTGCTAATTGCCTGTTAACCCCGTGGGCTCCAGTGGGCTCCGAGGCTGCAGGGAGGATGAGGAGTGGGGAGGGCGGGGGGCACATGCAAGCCAGTCAGCCAACCAAGGAGAGCTTTCTGGGGAAATGGGCTGCGGATAGATGGAACCCGAGGGGCTGAGAGGAGCCACTGCTCAGAGTGGGGAGCTCTGGATGGCTTTCTCCCAAGCTCTGATGTTGTCTGGGGCAGACCTGGAGGAGAGGGCAGAGAGAAGGAGGGAAGCACACCTGGGGAGTGGTTCCTGGCTTGATAGGGGCAGTATCAGGCCCAGGAAAAGTCTAGTAGGAAGACAAGAGACAGAGACTGGATTCAGGCTAAGGATAAAGAGGATGCAGATGCAGAGGTCAAGGGGACAGAGAGGATGGGGTGGGGGCAGCCAGGCCAATGGGAGAGGAAGACAGGCTAGGGTGACAAGCTGACAGAGGCCAGATGCATCATTTCTCAGATGCTGAGGACGGCCAGTCCAGGAGAATAGAGAAAGGCCTTGAGATACACACCAAGATCAGGGGACAGAGACTAGGGAGGCAAACCCAGGCCAGAGCCCAGGCCAAGAAAGGGTAAAGTGCTCTGAGAGGGACAGGAAAAGGTCATGGAGGAGTTCAAGAGCCCACACGGAGCACAGACAGATTCCCATCCAGAAGCCGTTCAGCCTGGGTCCAGAAGGTGGACCTGGAAGCTAAGGCAGTGAGCGAGACTGAGGGCGGGGTGGGGGTGGGGGGGATAGATCAAAGGAAGAGGTGGGGATCTGAGATGGGGATGGGACCCAGAGGCCGAGGGTGGGTCTTTTGGAGACAGACCCTCAGCACACAAAGGCACATGGTGGCCCAGCCCCTGTTGTTCTCTGTGGCTGGACCCTGGACTCTCCCGTACACAGCCTGCTCCTGGGCCAGTCCATGGGGAAGAGAGCAGCGGCCAGCCTAGAGGACCTCGAGGCAGAGCTGCCGTGCCGTCTCCATGGAAGAGGCCATGGGCTGTGCCGCCGCCAGAGTGCTGCCACTTAGGGGCTGGCAACTCCACCCGCTGCTGCCTGCCTGGCCCGGGGACCGTCTCCGGGGCAACGCTCTGCTCTGCCCAGCAGTCAGGCCTGACCTGGGCAGTGCAGGTGGCCCTGCCAATCCGGCCTGTCTGTTCCCTGCGGTGTATATCTGTCTGACCCAGAGCTCTTCCTCCCTAGGCTGCTCTGCACCACCACCTCAAGGGCAGGGTGGGGGGGGGGGGGGGGGGGGCGGGACCCCCCCCCCCCCCCCCCCCCCCGCAAAGTCATTGTAGTCCAAACCTTCCTGGTCACCTCTGCCCTGCAGGGGCGGGGCTCCGGGTCACGCAGCATGCGTCTGTGCGAACATGTTGGGGATATTAGGAAGGGAGGCTGCCCAGCCCCACCCAGGGTCAGGAGCCTGCTGGAAACACGGATTCCCAGAATACCTGCCTGGTGTTTACAAGCGCTCACTCTGTTTGGGTGCTTTGGTGATGGGCTCAGCTGTGTTTGAATCTCTGTTGTCATTTACTTGCTGTCTGCTCTTAGCCAAGTCATTTTCCTTTTCTGAGCTTCCTCACCATTAAATGGAGGCAACAATCGCGTGGTTTCTGGAAGGCTCAAAGGAGAAAATAAATAAAAAACACAATAGCGCCTTTGGAAGGGCTCACCTGGCATGCCTTCCCTCCACCACACGCCTCCTTCTACAAGTTGTGCTGGGCTCTTTGCAAGCCAAGATAGTAAACGCCCACAGGGAGGCCACAGTCCCATGGGTTGGGCCAAGCTGTGGAGAGACCGTGATGGTTCCTGGCGGTCAGGGAGAGCGGAGGTAGTGCTCCGCAGGCGGGGTAGGTGGAGGTGGGCGGCTGCTCACTAAGCCAGTCCCCCACAGAGCCCAGGCCGTAGTCAGCCTCTCAAGTAGAGCACACACTCACAACTTGCTGCATTGGCAAGAGATTCCAGCGTCTTCTTGGCTTTAAGTAGGAAGAGGGTGGTGCTTTGAGATTTGAGGCTTCTACTTATGTATTTGCCCCATATGTCTTTTCTCCACCACTGAGGATCCAGGAATCTTGCACCCTGAGATGGGGTTTCTGGGTTTCCCTCCCTCCAGTGACAGGTCAGAGCGCAGTTCTAAAGCAGAGCAGTCTTCCTGGACTCCCACCCGTTCCTTTAGGGTCTTTCTACTTGAAGTGTGGTCCAGGGACCCGCAGGTGGTTAGAAATGTGGAATCCCACACATTACTGAATCAGAATCTGTATTTTAGCAAGGTCCCCTGGTGCTTTGTGCACACATTAAAGTTTGAGAAGCAGTGATCTCGGAGACCTTTGGTAAATCAGCCCACCTCTCTGAGCCTGCATTTCTTCAGCTGTGGGATCTGGGGTGGTTGTGAGGATCCCATGGGAAAGAGCATGTGAAGCCTTCTAGCTTTAGTGCCTGGGCACAGCAAATGCTCTGGGGCTTTGAGTGGTGCCTCCTCCTGCCCCAGCACAGAGTGGACAGGGTTGATCCAGACGGGGCCAAGGAAGGGAACCCAGAATCGGGTGAGGGGGCAGAGCAGGAGGGGTGGAACAGAAGAGGAACTGAGAGGCAGCCGATCTGTAGAACAGAGTGAGGAAGGTGTACAGGAGTGGAGTGCAAGGAAAGGAGGAAGAGAGGAAAGGGGGACAGATGGGTGTGGAGACACACTCCTGCTTCTTTTCTGCTGGGCGGGGCTGAGAAGGAGCTGGGGCCTGGCTGGGCAGGAGGGCAGCTGCCAGCAATGGGTTCTGGGAACAGCTCAAGTCCAGCGACTGGATGAATTCCACCTCTCCCACCAACTAGGTGACTGCTGGTGTGACCTTGAGCAAGTCACATCACCTCTCTGAGCAGTCCTTTCCTGGTCTATAAGCAACAAGTTAATTTCACCTATCCAGGATGCCTGGGTGGCTCAGTGGGTTAAAGCCTCTGCCTTTGGCTCAGGTCATGATCCCAGGGTCCTGGGATCGAGCCCCGCATCGGGCTCTCTGCTCAGCAGGGAGCCTGCTTCCTCCTCTCTCTCTCTGCCTGCCTCTCTGCCTGGTTGTGATCTCTGTCTGTCAATAAATAAATAAATAATCTTAAAAAAAAAATTACACCTATCCACACCAGAGCTGCTGAGTTCCTGAAATGGGGTGGGGGTGGGGGTTGACGCTGCCATGTTTTGTAAATTGCACGGTGCTTGTTATGCACCCATTTTTGTTTGAGGACCAAGAGACAGGGTGTTTGGGTGGCAGAAGAACAGTGTGACAGGGGTGTGAGAGGAGAGCATCAACCGGGTAATTGATTAATCTAAGGGGCATGGGACACTTAACACTGCTCCCCAGTAAGGATGCCCCAGGCCCCCAGTTCTCAGAGATCCTCCCTCCCGCTGCCCCCAACCCAGCCCCTCTCTCTTCTACACCGTCTCTCTGAAGCTAGGCATTTAGGATATCTTTTCCCCAACACGGCCCTTCCTTTTCTCCCAGCTTTCACCAGTGCGAAGTGTTCCCAAGGAGAGGGGAGGGGGAGCGCGAGAGTGATTGAGTGCACTGACCCCTTGCCCCCAGGGAAGGTGCTGCCTGTGATGGGTTTGACCCACGGGCTCGTCTCTGTGGGGTGAGCCTGGCAGCGGGGATCTTGCCTCGCCTCTCCTTTGACCACGCCCCCCCCACTCCCCTCCCCAGCTGCTCCCCAACGCTCCATCGTAGTCTGGGCTGGCGGGGCCACAGCTTCCATCTCCGGGGCGCCAGCGCCATCTGGTGTCCATGCTGGGGAACTCTCCGTACGGGGAAAGGGAGCTTCGTTGAGCGCGGCAGTAACTGCTTCTAAGCATCCCTTGTGCTAGGCACTGGGCCAGGGCTGGGGACACCAGACAAGCTCATTGCTCCTGTGCGGCATAAACCTCAGTGGAAGGAGAGATGGACACTGGACAAGGAGACAAACAGATACACAAGATCATCTCAGGTCTTGATAAGGACTTAGCAAACCGAGGAACATCTTGATGGATGGAGGGTGTCACTTAATACCCAGTGTATGTGGTAATATGGGCATGGGTCTGAAGAGGGGACACGTAAGCAGAGTCTTTTAAGTCTCTTTTAAGACAGCTAAGCTGACCACGGGGCCAGATGGGAGACAGCGGTGAAAGGGGGCGGGGCACGAGATGGAAGGAAAGTGGTTGGATTCTAAATAGGTTCCAGAAGTAGAATCACCTGGCGCACATGCTGGATGGAATGCAGGGGTGAGGGAGAGGGAAGTGTCAGGGATTCCGATTTGAGAAACGGGATAGACGGTGGGGCCCTTTAATTGGGGAGGGCACAGGGTTTGGGAAGATAGCAAGGAGTTGTTATTGATAGGTTACATTGGAGAAGCCGCTTAATCATCTAAGAGAAGATGTCACTAGCAAAGATAGCACTTGGGAAGAGGCTGGGCTGCAGAATGGTTGCTGTTGGACAGTGGTGTCCAGGCAGGTGTAGTGGCCCTTTCACAGCACAGGGAACCTTGAGCTTCAGGAATTGTCTTAGCCCCTCCATTCATCTCCTCTCCTCCTCCTCTCTCTCACCCACAGGTCTATACTCGCTACGGGAAGTGTTATACCTTCAACGCTGATCCACAGAGTTCGCTGCCCAGTCGGGCAGGGGGCATGGGCAGTGGCCTGGAGATCATGTTGGACATCCAGCAGGAGGAATACCTGCCCATCTGGAGAGAGACAAGTATGCAGGGAAAGGGACGTGGGCCACTTTGGGGGCACCCAGAGAGATGCCCTCTGGCTGGGATGGGTTTCCAAAGGTCCCCATCTCCACTGTGCAGATGAGACATCATTCGAGGCTGGCATCCGGGTGCAGATCCATAGCCAAGAGGAGCCCCCCTACATCCACCAGTTGGGCTTCGGTGTGTCCCCAGGCTTCCAGACCTTTGTGTCCTGCCAGGAACAGCGGGTGAGCATCTCCAGTTGGGCCCTGAGTTGGACATCAGGCAGGGTCTTTGGGCACTGTGGGGATGCCCACCGGCCCTGCTCTCCAAAAGCTCACTGCCCACCAGCAACCCCCCCACCCCAAGGACTTTGTTGGAGCTGTGGGCAATGGAGGGCCAGGTGGGACTCTGAGGCATGACCCCATGTGCACCCCCCCCCCTGCAGCTGACCTATCTGCCCCAGCCCTGGGGCAACTGCCGGGCGGAGAACGGGCTCCGGGAGCCCGAGCTTCAGGGCTACTCAGCCTACAGTGTGTCTGCCTGCCGGCTGCGCTGTGAAAAGGAGGCCGTGCTTCAGCGCTGCCACTGCCGGATGGTGCACATGCCAGGTGGGCACCCACCCCTCCCGCCAGCCATCCAGGCCACCCTGCCAGGCTCCAGAACCTCCCTGGGTGGAATGCTGCTCCTGTGCACGAGCACGTGCACCGCGGCATGCATGCCTGCCTGTACTCCTGTGAGCGCATGCATGTATGTTGGAGATTTTTAAAAAAGATCTATATATTTATTTGAGAGAGAAAGTGTGGGGAGGAGGGGCAGAGGGAGAGAGAGAGAAGCAGACTTCCTGCTGAGCATGGAGCTGCACGGGGGCTCGATCTAATGACCCTGAGATGAGGAGCTGAGCTGAAATCAAGAGTCTGTTGGTAACAGACTGCGCCCCCCAGGTGCCCCTGTCCGGGATTTTATGTGTTTTCACATGTGTATCTGGGAATACACTCATGCGTGCTTGTGGCCGTGTTAATATGTATCTATGCATACATATGTTTATGGACAGGGTTGTGTGTGTGTGCTTGAACACACGCATACAGATGTGTGTGTATACATGTGCATGCAAGTGTGCATATGTTTGCATTTTAGGCATACATGCACAAGCACGTAGAAGCTCATGCATGTACAGGGATGTACAGACATACGTGTTTATGTGTGCATGCACACAGGTGTGTGTCCACATTTGGGAATGTGCTGGGGGAGAGGGGGTGGAACCGTAGACTCCAGGAATAATCTTCTCTCCTTTCAGGCAATGAGACCATCTGCCCGCCGAATATCTACATCGAGTGTGCCGACCACACACTGGGTCCGTGCTGCCTTCTCCCTTCCCCTGCCTCTCCATCATCCTCCTCTTCATCTCTGTCCACTGTTCTCCTCTCTGCCTTGGCCCCCCTCCTCCTAGTCTCTCCCGGGATGGTTCTTCCCAGGGTTGAGCCTTATCCCGTACTTCTAGGGGTTCTGAGGACTTTGCAGGTGTGGACACTTGGGTAAGTGGAGGTAGCAGGGTGAGGGGGTGCAGAAAACCAGGACTGGGAGTGAAGGGCTGGGCTTTCTGTTGTGGCTCAGCCAATGAGCTCACCTTCTCTGGGAAAGCGAAAGGACTTCTCTCTGTGTCTGAGGAGAGATGCACGGCTAAGTATCAGTGTGGGTAAGGCAAACCGCATGGGTCCCTAGGTCTCACTTGGGCTGTGATTCTCTCATTCTCTCACCCGTCCATCCATTCCTTCTTCTGCAGACGTTGCAAGGCTGGTCTGGTGCTGGAGGTGAGAGTGGGAACAAGAGGCTGTCCTTATGGAGCTTCCCGGCCTGCGGGGCTGTGGACCAGCACGATGGCCCGGTGCTAGTCCTTGCAGACAGGAAACTCAGGGGTGCTACAGGGTCCCGGGTGGGGCATGTAGCTCCACCTGGGAAGGCAGAAGGATCCTTGGAGGAAGTGATTGATTAGCTGAGACTTGAAGGGTGTGGAAAAAGTCAGCCTGGTGAAAAGCAGGGGGCATGATCTAGGCCCTGGGGACAGTTCTGTGCTAGACATCTGTGGCCAGAAAGAGAGCTGGAGAGAATGTGCTTGGGGAGGCAGGGAAAGATCAGCACTGCTAGAGGGCAGAGAACACAGGAGTAGGCAGCAAGAGGGGAGGGGGCTCTGGGAAGCCCACAGTGGCTCAAGGCAAGGCAAGAGCACCCTCTGAAGTTAGCAAGGTGCTGATCAGCCGCAGAGAATGGAAGGCAGGAGTAAGAGCAGAAGCAGGGCAAGTGGTCAGGAGGGCATTGCAGTCCTCCGGATGGTGGGGCCATGGGGAGTGGACGGGCAGTGGAACCACATGGAGACCGTCTCTGTCCCATATCCCAACCACATCACAGCCAGAGGGGCAGCGGAAGGACAGTTAATGAAGGGGCAGATGTGGAAATAGGGACGTGGGAACCACAGTGATGGTGAAACTCCACAGAACTAGCAACATCGGGCAGCCTCAACTTGTGCAGGCCTAAGGCGGGGAAAGGGGAGGAACACCGCTGGGGCCCAGAGATCTGTGGTTGTCCCAGAGGACAGGAGCTAGGACCACAAGAGGGGCGAGTGGCCTCAGCTGACCCACCGCTTGGTGAAGAGGAAGCCCTGGCATCTTTCCCCCCGGTTCCCCTCTGCCCCTGCTGGTGTCTCTTCCCTTGGTTCAACCCAACCCAAAGCCAGAAGATGAGGGAGTCCAGCTGATGCATCAGGCAGAGAGCCCCGCCTCCTGGGCACAGAGAAAAGTGGAGGAGAGTGAAGAGTGAATCTGAAGAGGGGAACAGAAAATCCAGCATATTAAAAAAAGAAAGAAAGAAAGATTATTTTTTATTTGAGGGACAGAGAGAGCGCGAGAGACAGTGTGAGTGCTCCTGCACACAAGTGGGGGGAGGGGCACAGGGGAAGAATCTTCAAGCAGACTCCCTGCAGAGCACAGACCCAGACCCATGAGATCATGACCTGAGCTGAAACCAAGAGTCAGATGCCTAACTGACTGAACCACCGAGATGCCCCCAAGAAAATCCAGCATATTAAACACAGCATTGTCTTTCTGCCCATCTGTCCATCCACTCATCCGTCAGCATACGTAAAAGCAGGCATATAATTCCATTCATCCAGCATCCTCTCCAAGCCCCATGTGTGTCTGAGCCCTCGTGTGATTGATTAGCTCTGATGGATGGGCTGTGTCCTCCGTCTGAGTCATGAGGACTCTCAGTTCCAGGGGGCTGGGACACAGAAGGATAAGCCTGTAGGAGGGTGCTGGGGGTTTCTGCCTTCACCCGCTTTCTTAGGTAGTCTGAAGCTGGTCCAGGAAGGAACTCCCAGAGAGTCTTCCCTAGGCAGTGCCAGGGTGGCCCCTAGAGGCCCTCCCTGTGGACGTGCCTTCTCCGGGCAGCTAGTGGGCCTCGGGGCCATGCACCCTCCCCCACTGCAGCTGGTGCCTCTGTGTTGCAGACTCCTTGGGAGGGGGCTCCGAGGGCCCGTGTTTCTGCCCTACTCCCTGCAACCTGACTCGCTACGGGAAAGAAATCTCAATGGTCAGGATCCCCAACAGGGGCTCAGCCCGGTACCTGGCGAGGAAGTACAACCGCAATGAGACCTACATCCGGTATGTGTGCGCGTGCGTGTTGTGCATGTGTGCGCGCGTGCGTGGTGGAGGCACAGGCCCGGAGCGTGGTGCACACTGGGAGTGGGCTGCGTCTTTCTTACTAACGAGGCTTCTGCGCGGATGCCTCTTACAGTCCTTTTCCTCTAATTAATCCCTACCTATCCTCCAAGTCACATCCTGTGTCCGTACCGCCAAGGAGGTCCCTTTCTTTTTAAAATAAAGATTTATTTATTTGAGAGAGAGTGTGTATGAGTACAGGGAAGGGGAGAGGGAGAGGGTGAAGCCGGCTCCAGGCTGAGCACAGAGCCTGACGTGGGGCTCCATTGCTGGACCCTGAGATCATGACCTGAGCCGAAGACAGCCCTTAACTGACTGAGCCACCCAGGCACCTCCAGGGAGCCCCCCCCCCTTTTTTTTAAGATTTTATTTATTTATTTGAGAGAGAGTGAGAGACCATGAGAGGGGAGGTCAGAGGGAGAAGCAGACTCCCCATGGAGCTGGGAGCCTGATGTGGGACTCCATCTCAGGACTCCAGAATCATGACCTGGGCTAAAGGTAGTCTCTTAACCAACTGAGCCACCCAGGAAGGCCCTTCTTGATCCAAATGCCTTTCCTCTGAGCTCCGAAGCAGCCTGTACCTCTCTCTCTCTCTCTCTCTCATTGTACCCACCTGTTGCTTTCCCACCCACTGCTGTCTTTCTCCCCCAGCAATCCGGGTGCCATTAAATGCACACTGAGGGAATGCTGCCCTAAGGGAGAGGGACCAGGTGCCAGCCAGCAGGAGAGGACTCACTGAGCCTTGGGTCTGGTCCCCTGCAGCCAATCTACAAATGCTGAGCATCCTGTGGGTGCCCGGGTGCCACCGTGTGGGTCCTGTGGGGACAGAGATGATTACACCACAAAGCTCCTGAAACAGTGTGTGTACCGCCACAGTGTACCCATGTGTAGTACCGACCGTCAGGCCTCCCCTGAGATTACCAGGCAGGGCAGATGATGAAGCTGGGGGAGGCATGAGCCCGGCATCTGAGGACACTGGGTGTGTAAGAGGAGACTGGGGAGGCCTCCCGACTAGAGAAGTGTGGGATCGTATAGAGATGAGCCTGAGCGGTAGGAAGGCTGTGTGGAGACAAGCAGATAAGAAAGCAATCTGGCCAAGAAGGCACAGATCATGGGCAGTCTTGGAGGTCTGGAAAAAGAATTTGGGGGTGAACTGCTGGTCAACAGGGAGCCTGTGAAAGTTCTAGAGAGGTATTGCGATGATGTGGAGTGAATGGCATTTGCTGCTTTACAGCAGAAGGCAGGAGGGACTCCTTCAGGCCCAGGAGTTTTATTTTGCTCTCCCAGGCTCCTGGCTAACCCTCAGAATATGAAGCAGACAAGGATCTAGGACAATCTCCCCTCACAGCCTTTGGGAGTCTGAGGGTGGTTCTCGCTGGCTTCTTGGGGCAGGGGACCTCGGATCAGGATCTGCTGGACCTGGGATATCCCTGCTAGCCGCCTCCTCAGGAAGACAGCCCCACAGGGACACTCTGCCTCCTGTCTCCACAGGGAGAACTTCCTGGTCCTTGATGTCTTTTTTGAAGCCCTGACCTCCGAGGCCATGGAGCAGAGAGCAGCCTATGGCCTGTCAGCCCTGCTGGGTGAGATGCCGCCCTGACCCAGTTCCGGGGGGATGGAAGGGGGATCGGCCTGGCCAGTGCTTCTGACCTGCTCTCATGCTCCTCAGGAGATCTCGGGGGACAGATGGGCCTCTTCATTGGGGCCAGCATCCTCACACTACTGGAGATCCTGGACTACATCTATGAGGCAAGAGATGGGGGGCCTGGTAGGGAACCCCCAGAGGGGGTATGGAGGGTGGGAGGAGGGGCTATGGAAGAAGCAAGGGGGCAGTACAGGCTTCCTGGTGCAGCTGGCCTGGCCATGAAGCCAAGCTTGGGGTTTTGGGCTAGGGTCTCCTGACCAGCTGGAAGGCAGGCGTGAGGGTGCTGAGGAGTTAGGAGAAAGGGATGGGCGGGGAGGATTAGGGAGTCCTCCTGGGGGTTTGCTGGGGCAGCAAGTCCTACAAAGTGGGCCTCGGTGAGGCCTGCCCTTCTCCTCTACCAAGTTTCCTGAGCCCACTGCTGTCCCCCCACCCTGAACCCCAAGGTGTCCTGGGACCGACTGAAGCGGGTGTGGCGTCATCCCAAGACCCCCCTGCGGACCTCCACCGGGGGCATCTCCACCCTGGGGCTGCAGGAGCTGAAGGAGCAGGTGAGGGTGAGCTCTGCTGAGCGCAGCCAGGGCTCTCTCCTAGGACTGAAGGCCTCGGCCACTTCTGACCTAGCCTGTCAGAGCTCGGCTGTATCCCCTGCCCCAGGGCACAAGGAAAGGCTGGCTGTGTGGGGCCCAGGAGTCTGGCTCGCATTCTCCATGTCTCACTCCCTCTTCACTTTGCAGAGTCCATGCCCGAGCCGGGGCCGCGCTGAAGGTGGGGGAGCCAGTGGCCTGCTCCCCAACCACCACCACCCTCCTGGCCCCCGAGGAGGCCTCTTTGAAGACTTTGCTTGCTAGGACGGTGCTGTCTAAAAAGACCCAGGGGTCTGGGAACCCTCCCAGTATCCCCAACAGTCTCCTCCCTCCTGGGACACAAGGCCTGGGGGCAGCCCGAGGGAAGGGGGAGAGGGCAGAGGGCGGTCCTCACTGGGAGGGTGGGGATTCAGTTCAGGCTCTCACCAGCTCTGGCGCCAGCTGCTTTGCACAAGGGTTCTTGTCCCCCCGCCCCCAACCCTCAGGCTGGTGCCCAGGGAGGGCTGGAGGGGAGGGAAGGAAGAGAGTGAGGGAGGTGGAGGAAGGGGCCCACCCTAGCAGGTGTGGAACCCCCTGTACATTTGTATATATTTAGGGAGGACAGGGTGGGGTGGGGGAACAGATGTAGAAGGTGGGTGGGGCTATGGGGGTGGGTGATTCAGGGACAGCCAGAGTCCCAGCCCTAGAATGTCAGTAGGAGAAGGAGAACCCCGGGGACTCAGGAGTGCTGGACTGGTTCTACTTCCTTCCCCTCTCCAGGCCCAGCTCCCCTTTTGGCAGGGGGACTGGGTGGCCCAGCAGGCCTGGCCCAGCTCCCAATTCCCCCTGCCCCAACCCCACCTTCAGAGTCTCCTCCACAGGGAGCAGGCCGACCCATTAGACCTTGGCTGAGCTTGGGGGTGGGGAAGGGAGCCTTCTCGATGGGCCTCTCTGCCTCTGGTCTGGTTTTATAAAGCGCTGACGAAACTGAGAATAAAGAGGCATAAAGAATTCTCTGTGTGCCTGTGTGACCAAGCTGGGGCAGGGCTGGGCACAGGCATGGCTTGGTCCCAGGAAAAAGGAAACCCAGGCCCCCGCCAGCCAGGACAAGGGAGCCTCCATCCTCACGGCCAGCCCTCCCTGTCCCCAGGCCACCTTTTGAAAACTCAAAACCACGAATCTACACTCAACCAGTTTATTAAAGGCAGGGAGCTTCATCCAGGTCCAGAAGGGAGAAGTTGGGGGACACCCCCCTTCTTCTCTCAGCTCCCCTCTTCCCCAACCCCTCATCTACAGCCCAGCCCCCAGGAGGCCCTAGGAGACCAGACCGGCGTCAGGCAGACTGCACTGCATAAATACTCAAGAGGCCACAGCCCGAATCAGCAGCGTCAAGGGGGGGGGGGGGCGGACAGGGAGACCAGGGCTGGGACAGGGAGGGGTGGCTCCGGAGGCACCTCCCCCCGGGGCCTGTCCTGACCCTGAGGACCCACAGAGCTAGAGAGAGGGGGCCCGTGGGTGGCCCTGGGGTCTGAGGCTGCAGCTAGCCCTGTCTGGAGAGGCTTGGCAGGTGGCTCGGGTTGTTGGGGAGGAGGGAGCATGCTGTCATGCCAGGATTCTGGGGTGCGGGGCGGGCTCAGGTGCTGTTGCCCTGCTCCTGCTCAAAGAGCAGCATGGCTAGCTGCGTGCGGGAGCCCAGGCCCTCCAGCTCGCTCTGGCGGCAGCGGTGGTATAAGTCCTCACTGAGCCGTGCGCTGCACGTCTGGGCCCGGTAGCGCTGCAGCAGCGCGGGTTCCACGGCCCGCAGCACGTGCAGGCTGGAGAAGCGCAGGAACAGCTCATACACGTCCAGGCTCTCCAACAGCTCCTCCTCCTGCTCCGAGGCTGCTGCCAGCCGCCCGCGGGCCGCCACGTAGTCGGAGTTGTAGAAACAGGCCTCACTGGCTGCCTGGCGGTCAAAGCGGCCCGTGTCTCGGCCCAGCTCCGGGGGTCCAGGGCCCTGCGGGGGGGCCACGGCCGGGTGGAAGGCCTGGAAGTGCATGGGGAAGAAGGCCTGCCAGCCTGAGATGGCATGCATGCGGCAGCGGTTCAGGAAGTCAGGCGTGAGCACTGTGTCTGGCCCGGCCAGCAGGAACAGCGTGTCCAGTGGGTGCTTCTTGGAGAGCAGATCCATGAGGCGCAGCGGGGAGGGTGCGGCTGTCTGCACGCTGAGCCAGGGCACCCGGGCGCCGGGGAACCGCCGCTCCAATTCGGCCACATGGGCCTTGACAGGTGCAAAGACATCGGCATGGGCTGCCCGCTGGGCCTGTCGGGGCTCATACAGGAGCAGCAGGGTCAAGGCTGCCGCCGCATCGCCGGGTTCCAGTGCTGCAGCGGCGAAGGCCTCCAGGAATGCAGGGGCCAGGTCACGCTCGGCTGCAGCCAGAGGCAGTAACACGGTGAGACGTGAGGCCTCCGTGACATAGGGCACAGGCAGGATCTCCACACGGCTCAGCGGCCGCAGCAGCTGCACGCGGCGGGTGAGGGGCCGGCGACCGCCCTGGGGGGTCAGCGCCTCCAGCTGCAAGTCCAGCGTGTACTCCATGCCCCGGGCGGGATCAAAGCGTCGGTAGCCGTTAACCAGCTGTTGCTTCTGGAGCCGCAGGGCTGGATGGTAGCGACGATTGAGCTCTTCCAGGGCTGCCCCCAGAACATCAGCCACATCGGCCCGGTCGACCCCTCGCAGCGGGCAGCGGGGCGAACCATCAGCACAGGAGAAAGCGTGCTGCTCTGTGAAGTAGTCCCAGCGCAGCACCTCAAAGCGGGAGGCCGGGCGGGAGGGTGCAGGGATCCCCACAGGCCAGGCGGCTGCGCGCTCCCCGTCGGCCGCCAGATGGCTGGTGTTCTGGATCTCCCACTAGGTTGGAGAAACAGACCATGAGTAAGGCAAAGACCGGGGGAGGGCCAGCACACAGCTGGAGGACTAAGCAGCTGGCCAACACTACTTGGGATGGGTTCCCACTCCCCTGCCAACCTCTGCTATCTCAGGGCCCCACCTAACATTTCCCCAGATTGGGGCAGCCTAAGAGTGAAAAGGGAAGTTTCCAGAGGCAGAAACAAACAGGGACTGGGAAGCTGGTTTGTTCTTGGACTCTAGTGCTAGCTTTTTTTTTTTTGTTTTAAGATTTTATTTATTTATTTGAAAGACAGAGTGCGAGTGCACAAGCATAAGCAGAGGGAGAGGGAGGGAGAGAGGGAGAAGCAGACTCCCCACTGGGCAAGGAGCCCAATGTGGAGCTCGATCGCAGGACCCCCAAGAACATGACCTGAGCCGAAGGAGCACACCCAACTGACTGAGCCACCCAGGCACCCCTCTAGTGCTAGTTTTTACTTCCCTGGGATCTGTGAGACGTCTCAGGACCTGTCCCCTCTATCCCTGGGGCCCCAGGCCATACCTGTAGCTCCTGGATCTCCTGGTATGTGCGTTCCAGCTCAGCTCGGGCAAAAGCTTTGTGCAGCTGATACATATGTATGGGGTCATGCACAGGGTGGGCTGTCAGGGCACTGCGGAAACGGGGGTCTCCTTCCTGCACATGTTCCCCAGGGCTCAGCTCCAGGAAGTTATAGTGGACTCCCTGGAGAGAGGAAGGGTAGGGTCCATAATGGAAAGAGGGATGAGATAGCCTCCCCACCCATCCCACCCCCACTGTGTGCCTCATCTTCCCATCTTATGACCTTATGTTGTGGACCTGGGAGTCCACAACAGGATTACTGGGTTTAAGTCTACTTTGACCAGTTGTAAGCTTGTGTGACTTTGGGCGAGCTTCTGCTAGCTCATCTATGAAATGGGCATACGTATCCTACCTCAGAGCTGTTCAGGGGCTCAAAGAAAATAATAATAGTCAACACTGAACACCCACTATGTGCAAGGCTCCCTAATTTTTTCTAATCCTTATAACAACCCTAAGCAATAGTTATTTTCATTGGTCTGGAGGAGGATACTGAAGTTCAGGAGATAAAGTGATTTACCCAGGTTACAGGGGTAAATAAAATTACCCCAGGTAACAAGGATAGAAATTGACAGCCCTGGCATGGAAAACCCAGGGCTATTATTTCCAACTACCCCCTCGCCTCTGAGGGGCAAGTGTACAAGCTCAGACAGGAGGTGCCGGTGGGGCGGCTTATCTGCCCACCTCGTGGTCACCCGTGCAGCCCACCCCGGTGGCATCCAGTATGCAGCGCCCCAGCCACTCATCCGGGCGCGCGCTGACAATGTCGTTGCGGCAGCTTTCCAGGTGGGGGCGCAACTGCTGCAGCAGTGTGCGAGACAGCAGCACCCCAAAGCCGCCATGGCAGTAGCGGCCTGGGGCGGGCTCCCCCCCGATGAAGTCCTGCGGCCGGCCCAGATAGAGGTGGGCGGCGGCTGCCAGGCTGAGACGGCCGGCTAGGCGAGCCAGTCCATGGGCTTCGGTGTAGGTGGCATCCGGCACTATGAAGAACCAGTCAAAGTCGTCACCGTGTTGTTCCAGTAGGTGGCGCAGCGCCAAGTGCAGGTGCCCGATGGGCCGCTCCTCGCCCAGAGTCACCACGGCCATGCCCGGCGGTGCCCGGCGGCCCCGAGAGCCGGTCAGGAACACCACTCGCTCTAGCCGGTGCCCCAGCGTGCGGTTCACGGCCACACCCAGTGTGGGCAACGTGGCTTGTGAGGTCAGCACCGCCACAAGCAGCCTCTGCCTGATGCCCAGCTCCGTGCTGATGTATCGGGTCCTGGGGGAGAAGAGGGAACAAGGTTATCCAAAAGGCAAGAGGGCGGGCAGGAGAGAGCATACACAGGCTCTGGCAGGTCCCATCCTCTCTGGGTCTGTTTCTTTCCCTCCACATAGATAAGAACAACAACTCTCTCTTAGGAGTCATGAGGGTTTACCTGAAATACTGGCCTTACCTACACAGTGCCTTGGGGAGATGGCAATATCCATGCAGAAATGAGAGATACACTGTGGGTCTGATTCTCTGTCTCACCACTTAGTTGTGTCCTTGAGCAAGTTAATTTAACCTACTGCAACCTCACCCAGTGGCCTACTCTGCAAAAAGGGGTTGATTGCATCTAATCAAAGCGCTTAGCCAAGTGCTCAGCACACAGGCACCCCACACACCACGTATAAATATGCCATGATAATGATAATGCCATGATACCTCAAATACATCACACAAAGGATGTAAGGGAATACATGGCATAGGAATGCACTGAGTGTGTTTGGAACAAGGGCAAACTGGGGCTCAGGGGTTCCAGCAACTTACCTTCCATAATGCAGAAGGTAAGTTGCAAAACTGAAATCTGAACTCGGGGTTACTTAGGAGAAAATAATTTCAAGTCATGGGCAGAGGCATTAATGGGATAGTACCTCACCCCTCCCCCACAAATCTCATCCTGAAGTGTCCCACCCCGGAACAAGAGAAACAGGTAAATCCTAGTTTTCTCTTTCCTCTTTCCCTCTCTCTATGCATCCACCCTATATGCCAGTCATTTCTCCAAATCCAACAGCCCAACTAGGGAGCTAATAGGATCTATGAAGGACGACGGCATAGGATGGAGCCAGTTTAGGACGGAGGAGGGCAAGTTCAGCTCAGGCCTGGACGGGGCACAGAAAGGGCGTCCGATGGGTTACACAGCTCCTGGGGAAGCAGGGCCATCGGAAATCATCGGGGCTAAAGACTTCCTGGCCGGCCGGCCCCTTCCTTCCGGAGCCTGACCCAGCCTCCGGCGGCCTCCCCGGCGCGCCCGTCCCCGCCAGTGCCCAGGGGGTGGGGCTGGCGGGGCTGATCCCTACCTGACGGCCTTTTTGGCGGCCTGGCCAGGCTGTGCAGGATGGTAGGGCAAGACACGCGGCTCCCAGTTCTCCCCGGCGCCTGCGCCGGCTCCGGGCCTTTCGCGCTCCGCTCCGGGCTGCACCGAGTTGGGCCGGCGCGCCGCGTTCGTGTTGCCGCGCGGCGGCAGCTCAGAATCTCCGGGTTGGGGCGGCCCTGGGCCGCACGGCTCCTCCACCCAGGTCACGCTGAGCAGGCTCAGAGTGAAGCCCAGGGAGATGCCCACGGCTACGGGCCCTGCGGGCCGCAGCACCGACAGCAGCAACGATGCCCGCATGGCGCCGGGACCGCGGGCCCCCGGCCGCGGAGCAGCCCCACAGCAGCCGGAGGAAGCTCCGAGGGGGCGGGACCGGGGAGGGGGCGGATCCGGAGGGCCCGGGCCAAGCGGGCGGGCCCGCTCCCTCCCCACGGACGCGGCCCTGGTTGAATCCCCTGCGCAGCGCTCAGATCCTCCGTAGGGCGCAGGGCTCCAGCGCTCAGCGCGGGAGCCTCGGCCACCGCCGCCGCTGTCCGACGTGTCACTGCGAGATCCCCGCCCCCGGGGTGGGGTCTCGGGCTCCAGCTACCGGAGACGGAGCAGAAGGGGGAGGTTAAAGGGGAAGGACCCCCGGAAGTGCCCCCTCCTCAGTGCGGGTGAGGGAGACGCCGGGGGCGGAGTCCTCTGCCTCCCCGGCGTGGTTGGTGCGTCCCTGGTGACGTCAGAAGCAGCCCGCCCCTGCCTGGATGGTGCGCCCTGAGTGACGTCAGGAGCAGAGGCCGGAGCTGTCCATCAGCACCAAAGGCCGCGGGCGGGCTCAGGGCATGGGGCCGCGGCTCTGGGGCAGCCCAAGCCCCTGCTCCTGCTCCTTTCCCTTCCCCAGGCCCAGCCTGGGTCCGGAGACTTCGCGGGACTGGAGTGCCAGCCTGTGTTGGAGGCGGAGCAGCGACGCCGCCGCACAGAGACCAGTCCCTCCGGCCCAGCAGCCCCCCTCCTTGCACGGCGGACTTTTCCCGGACCCCAGTCAGCTGGGGCCTCTAGCGCTCCGCACCCCCGGACCCTCCGACCCCTGTACAGCCTCTTTCGCTCAGAAGCTCAGGTCGCCTCCAGCCCAGGTAGATCTTGGACAATTCCAGATTTAGCCGCCCACAGAGGAGTCTCCTGGCTGCCTCCTTCTTACCGGCAGTACATTGCCCTCCTCTTTTCTCAACCCACTGCCCCTTTTAACTTCTTCATCCTAGCCTCCTTTAGCCGGGCACTTTGTTTCCCTTTGTCTTTTGTCCACTTCAGAAATGCTTGCAGAGCTGCATGATCTGGGCACCACTCCCTTGTCCACTGGTGTCCTTGCCTGGTTCTCCCACTCCCATTCTTGCCCCCATCCTGGTGGAGACCCAGGACTCCTCCTTGACCCCAACTTCCTCTCTGTCAGGCTGACCTGGGAGGGTGACTCCCTTCCATTCCCAGCACTATGCCAGGCACTGTGGCGACACTGCGGTTCCAGCTGCTGCCCCCCGAGCCAGATGATGCCTTCTGGGGTGCACCCTGTGAGCAGCCCCTGGAGCGCAGGTACCAGGCACTGCCGGCCCTCGTCTGCATCATGTGCTGTTTGTTTGGAGTCGTCTACTGCTTCTTCGGTGAGACCCCTACCTCATCCCTTATCTGGGCTCCCCACTGCTTCCCCAATTATTTATCTAGACCCCCTCACCCCACCAAATCTTCTCTAGAACATCACCAGCACCACCACTACCATAGCTTTCTTTTCTTTCTTTCATCCCACACATGTTCATGGATCTAGACTCTAGATCCTAGAAAACATAGGTTTTTGAATTAGGCATGCTTGAATTTGAAACTGGCTTTGCACCTTACTAATTGTGATACCTTAGCTCCTGACTGTCTAAGCCTCAGTTTTCTCATCTGAACAGTGGGGACAATGATATTTGTCTCACATTGGGTTGTTGTGAACATAGTAGGCACTCAATAAATAATAGCTATTGTGGTAAAGATGTGTTTGCTAGGTAGATACCGAAAATATTTAGTAGGGTGATTGAACATAGTCCTTTACCACAGGACTTATTGTCCAATAGGGGAGAGACTTCTGGAACATTCATCCCTGTAATACATGTTAGGGTAGGCTAAATGGTAGTCACATACATGGAGATAGCCTACAAGGCAGGCTCTAGTAATCAGGGCTGCTGTGAAGAGTTGTATAGGATGGGGCACTGCACAAGGGAGTTCAGCTGAATAGGTAACTGGGGGCTGAAATCTAGCCCTTGCTCCACTTGCCAAACTCTAGGTCTTGGCACAGGCTGCTTTGCCTAGGGGAAGACACGACTTTTTCTAATTCGCATAAAGGTGTGAGATGGGCTAGTGAAGTAAGTGCCCGATGACTACAGCAGGAGTTATAGGATTTCAGAATGGGGAACAAGCTCCTTGGGGGGGGGGGCTCCAGGGGAGCATTATAGGCAACCGGAAGAAGTACAAAGGAGGCACAGAGGTCTGGATTCCAGGCTGGGCAGAGGTGCCTTGAGATTAGTGCTCTGTAGCCTTTATACCTCTCCCTAGAATGGCTGTGTAGTAGGCACGGATGGGAGCCAGATGGTTCCTCCCCTTCCACCCCCAAACTCTAGGCTGAACAACTGCAGAATGAGCAAAAGGAAATGCCCTTCTAAGGGTTCAGGACACATTCTAAATCTCCAAGGAGTCTGTCATCCCATGCCCTCCACTGCCCATATCTACTACCTCTGCATTTGCTCAGTGCACCCTGACATGCCCTCTCCTGGGCTTTCCTCCACCCTACCCTCCTTGGATGCTCTCACTCCCAGGCTCTTGGACCCTGAGCCCTGCTGTATGCCCTATTCCTCTTTCTAATCCCAGAACCTCCTGGACTTTGATGCCTCTCCTCATTCCTAAAACTCAATCTCCTCTTTATGAACATTCTCTTTAGTGCTCCATGACCCCTTAATCTCCATCTCTGACTTTCCTCTTCCCAACTGTTCAGTATTTACAAATCCCTCACCCTTTCAGGTACTTTTAATGGGTGTAACTTCCATTTTGATGAAACTCCATGACCACTGTTTCCCCTTATAATCCTCTTTGACACCCTATGACCCTAGTGATCCCCAACCACCTCGTTATCTCATTACCTCCCATCCCTCTGTCTCCCTCTATTACTCCTAACATGTTGACCCCTGTGATGCCATTGTCTACCCTTCCCCAACAATGATCTCCTATTTCTTTGGCCTCAATATTAGCCTCTCTCAGAAACCCTTTAATACTCTCAACATTTCCATGTCTGTTGATTTCCCTACTTGCAATGACCTCATCTTCTGGAACCCCTCTCCAATAACTCTGCTTCTCCATTCTTTTTGTCATTTTCTAATAATGTCGTATCTCTGAAGCCCTGTGACCCCTCAAAGACCTCATCTTTCTGAACCTGTGTGACCCTCATCTCTCAAGTTCTGACTTCTGAATCCCTCATCTCTTTGAACAGTCCCTCCCAAGGCCATGATGATTCTGATTGCTGATCCCCTGTGTCTCCAGTGACCTATCTCTCTGAGCCCTATGATTCCAAAGATCCTAATGTCCCTATCACTGATTCACTCTTGACTCCAATGATTTATCTGACTCCTGTGACCCTCAAAGACCCAACGCTCATCTCAATAACTCTGTCTCTCTATTTTCCCAGTGACTCCCAGTGACCTAGCTCTCTGATCTGCCTCGACCTCAGTGGTCCCATCACTGATGCCTTCAGGACACCAGTGACCTGGGGGGGGGGTCTCTGATCTTAGTGTCCTGCTACTGCTTCCCCTGTGATTCCATGTCCATGAACCCTCCAATCTCCTGCCTGGAGCCCGGTGACTTCATTTTGGACCCTTACTAGCCCTTGTTCCCCTCCAGGTTACCGCTGCTTCAAGGCAGTGCTCTTCCTCACTGGGTTGCTGTTTGGCTCGGTGGTCATCTTCCTGCTGTGCTACCGAGAGCGGGTGCTGGAGACGCAGCTGAGTGCCGGGGCAAGTGCAGGCATCGCACTGGGCATTGGGCTGCTCTGCGGGCTGGTGGCCATGCTGGTGCGCAGCGTGGGCCTCTTCCTGGTTGGGCTGCTGCTCGGTCTGCTGCTCGCTGCTGCCGCCCTGCTGGGCTCCGCGCCCTACTACCAGCCGGGCTCCGTGTGGGGCCCACTGGGGCTGCTGCTGGGGGGCGGCCTACTCTGTGCCCTGCTCACACTGCGCTGGCCCCGACCACTCACCACCTTGGCCACCGCCGTGACTGGTGCTGCGCTCATTGCCACTGCCGCCGACTACTTTGCCGAGCTGCTGCTGCTGGGGCGCTATGCGGTGGAGCGCCTGCGTGCCGCCCCCGTACCCCCCCTCTGCTGGCGGAGCTGGGCCCTGCTGGCACTTTGGCCCCTGCTCAGCCTGATGGGCGTTCTGGTGCAGTGGCGGGTGACAGCCGAGGGGGACTCCCACACGGAAGGTGAGAGGATACAAGACAGGGTGGATGAGAGAGAAATGAGTGGCCAGGGATGGGTGGGGGGGACGGAGGGAATGGGGTGTGGGGGAATAGGGCTGTGTACACCAGTGGCCAGGTGAGCTGTGTATACCTCAGAAGAGTTGGAGAGCTGACCCGCTCAGCGTCTGGGAAGACAGGACCTTAGCCCCAATCTTCGTTCTGCAACAAGGTATAGGGTTGTGTGGGGTCTGTGGCAAGCCCATTTCAGGCACAGGGGATCCAACAGAAAAGGTCCCTGCCCTCAAGGGATTACATTCAAGTGGAGGGAGACAGACAACAGAATGCAAGCACTACGTAATTCCAGGTCTGGAGTTATATGAAAGAGAAATGCAGGGTGACATGAACAAGGGACTTATGGAGGCTATTATGGATAGGATAGGCAGGGAAGGCCACTTGGGAGAGGTGACATTTAAGTAGAGTGCTGAAGGATAAGAGGCCACATGCAAAGAGCTAGAGAAGAGGGAACAGCAGGAGCAGGTCCACAGAAGCAAGAGCTTGGCTTGCTGAGGCCATGGGCGGGAGTGTGGTGGGTGGAGGCACGCCATTAGTGTGGGCCCTTTGGGCCATGACGGGGACTCTAGATTTTACCAGGAAGGCAATGGGATGCTATTGTAGGTTTAAAGTAGGGGGGCTATAATCTCATTTAGGATTTGGGATGGTCACTCTGGCTGCTAAGTGTAGAAAACATCGGGGAGGGCAAGTGTAGAAAGGCAGATCAGTGAGAAGGAGATAGCAGTTGCCCCATTGATGGAGAATGAGGGCTGGTTTAGGTGAGTCACCTGGGGCTCAGGGTGGGAAAAGGGATAACAGCTGGAGAAGGAGCACTTAGAAGTCTAGGAATCTTCCACATGACTCTCGGAAGACAAAAACAACTGCAAGAAGTCCCGTTTGGGAGGTGGGAGACCAGGAAAGGAAGGGGAAATGGGGGGTCGCAGACAAGGGGATTCTGGAAGCCTGGAGCCCTCGGATAGGGTGGATCGGGGAGGCCTGGGGGAGACGAGGCAGGTGGCCTGTGAGACCCTTCTCTGCCCCACCCCCACAGTGGTCATCAGCCGGCAGCGGCGACGCGTGCAGCTGGTGCGGATTCGGCAGCAGGAGCAGCGCAAAGAGAAGCGGAGGAAGAAGAGACCCCCTCGGGCACCGTCCAGAGGTCCCCGGGCACCTCCAAGGCCCGGGCCCCCTGACCCGGCTTATCGGCGCAGGCCGGTGCCCATCAAACGCTTCAACGGAGATGTCCTCTCCCCGGTGAGCACCCTGAGCCTCTCCAGCCCCAAAGGGGAAGAAGAGAATGCGGCAGACTCTGTCCCAGCAGGGCTAGGCCTCCCCCAGGGGCTGATCACTATCTAGCAGGCCTAGCATTTGTCTACCTATTGTAACCCCTGCCCAATGGGCCAGAGGGGTCCAGCTCTAGGATTGGGGGAAAGGTGTCCTGAGTATGAATATTAATGAGGTATGGTAAGGGGTAGTAGGGTCTCAGGGCTGTGGACTCCCAGTGTGGTGAGGTCCCGGGCCTAAGGCAGTGTGGGCTGAGTTTCAGGCTGTGGGGTGCAGGGACAGGCTGTCTGCCCAAGGTGGCCTTCTGGGCAGGGTCTGCAGTGCCTCTCTCACTCCTGTCTTCACTCTCCCACAGAGCTACATCCAGAGCTTCCGGGACCGGCAGACCGGGAGCTCACTGAGCTCCTTCATGGCCTCGCCCACAGATGCGGACTATGAGTATGGGTCTCGGGGGCCGCTGACAGCCTGTTCAGGGCCCCCTGTGCGGGTATAGCGGTCCTGCACACCCGCCCACCTAGATTCTACGGTCACCAGCTCTGTCGGCTTGGGGAGGCCTGCTGGATCACCACCCAGCCCGCCTGGCCTTGTGGCCTTGGCTGTCCCTCTCCCCACCCTGAAGAGGGCTGGCCTGGCTACCAGAAGGGAGGACCTGTCTCAGGCTAGCCCTGGCCTAAGGGGCAAGCCTCCTCCCTAGCTCCAGAGGGGCTCCTGAGGGATGCGGGGTGTGAGCCCCATTGGGGTGTGCTCAGGGTTGTGAGTGTGTCGCCTGTGTGTGTGTGTGTGTATGTGTATGGAGGGGTGGGCTTGGAGGGGACACTGGGACCCTTGCCTTAGATTTCTGATTGATAGGGCTTGTCTAAGGTTGGCCCTGCCTCCTCTCCCACTGCTGGGGTCCCACAGGCCACTCTCCTGCATGTCAATATGGAGGAGGTCTGCCTTCCTCTCCCATCGCTCCACCTCTCAACCAGACTCATCTAAGGCTTCTTGTCCTTGTCTATGGGGCAAACGGCAGCACCCCTCACCCTGGTCCCCTGTCCTCTGCAAAGCCACCAGCCTGAGGGCAGGGGCAGGGGAGGGGGGCGGGGGGTGCTGCTCTGGGCTGGGTTAGGGAGAGGGGCTGGGGGAGGGGGCTTCAATGCACGGTGCATGTCTGGTGTCTGTCACACCACCCTGGACACCTCATGCTTCTGTCTCCCCTCACCCCACCCTGTTTTACATATTTTATAAATGTGCCAAACTGTGTGGCTTCTGCCAAGAGTGGTGGTGGTCTTCAGTGGCTGGCACTTTCAGGGGCCAAACTGGAGGGGCTGCAGCCTTGGGTGTCCTGTGTCACTTACAACACAGGGCCCCCGGGCAACTTCTGCCCTCCTACATCACACAGAGAGCCAGGGAAAAGGACTATACCACTTTATTGTCTCTCAGCACCTCTGGTTCCCCTGCCCCCCCAACCCCTGCCCAGGGTATGGGCACACGCCTTCCAAGCTGTCCGAGGGCACCTGCCTGGCCTGGTTCGGTCCTCCTAGCTACCTGCAGAGGAATGACTCGGCGTGGGGCTGGGGAGAGAGTGGGCACCACCGTCCTCTCCCCTGGCAGAGCCCAGGAACCCACATAGGAAGAGCTGGGTCCTCACCCCCTGCCTCACCCTTCCTGGGCCTCTATCAGGGATGTCTGTGGGGTGCGGTGGGGGGGGGACGGGTCAGCCCCTGGTTAGGAGTGGGACAAGACACGAGTCTGGAGGAGATGCAGGAGGGTGGGGCATTCCACGTGGAAGAGGAAGGAAATGGGACTAGCTCAGGAGCCCTCTGCTCAGACTGATATGGAGCTCGCCAGGAAGGGCAGAAGCCAGGACGGCAGAGAGCAGGAGGGGGGTGAGAAGCAGGTGGGGGCATAGACCAAGGGGCCAGTAGGTGGGAAGGAGAGGAACTAGGGTACCAATGGGGCATTCAAGGGAGACAGATGTCCAGAGTCAGGAGGGAGCGAGAAGCCTGAACGGGAAAGGGCACAGAAAGGCGGGAACAGCTGACCTGAAGCAAATGGTTCCTGTGGAGAACACAGGGCTCCCTCCTCTCCTCACCCCCTCCCCCACTCCAGACCTCCAGTACACCCCAGAACCAACTGGTCATCCCAAGTCCTGGAAAACCTCTGGTAGGTGTGTCTCAGCCCACCAGCTGCCAGGCCACCCCTCCTTCCTAGCCAGCCAGCCTGCTCCTCTGACCTCTGCCCAGTCAGCTTCACTCACCCTCTACCAGCAACCGCGTGTGGGCGCTGTCCTGACCGGCCTGGCAGCTGTAGGTGCCCTGGTCTTCAGGTCGCACGTCATGGATGACCAGGCTGTGGGTGGGGCCGTCGCTGCGCAGCTCATACTTGTCTCCGGGGCACAGCTCGACCCCCTCCCGCAACCAGCACACGTGGCCCCCCGAGCGGGACACAGTCACCTCCAGTACGGCCCTGCGGCCGACCAGAACCGTCTTCTCTCTAGGGGGGCGGCGGCACATCTGGAGAGGCAGTGCTGGGGGTGAGGAGGAGAGCTTAAGTTAATAGGAACACCCAGGGGCCCCAGGAGGAGAGAGGCATCTTCCCTCCCTCTGCAGCCTCCACTCCTGGTCTCAGATCTCCATGGCACTAGCCCGTTCCTCTGTACCCCAAAGTCTCCTCCTCCCCAAGAAGGGGACCCTCCCCCAGAAGAGTCCCTCGAGGAAGGGAGGCTGGGAGGCGGGGAGGCAGCGTTCCCAGGACCAGCCGCCAGCCTGAGACTCCCGAGGGGGAGGGAAGATGATACCCACTCCCTCCCGTTCCTCCCCAGTAGCTTACCCTCCACCTCCAGCTGAGCCACGGACTGCGCGGGACCCGCCTGGAAGCGGACCTCACCGGCGTCCTCCGGGCGCAGCTCGCTCAGCACCAGAATATGTTTCTTCCCTGGGTACGTGAGGGAGGCGCTAAGCGAGGCAGGAGCCGCCACTGGGGAAGGTTCGGGGATGAGGGTGGGCCGGTGTAGGTCACCGGGTCGGTTTGGACGCGGCAAATGTGCGCCGGGCTGGGCAGAATTGGGTCGTCGAAGGGAAAGAGGAGCGGTCCAGGAAGGAGGGCTTAGAGCTGGAGACCCGGGAAAGACCGGGAGACTGCTCGTTGGGCTATGGGGCGGCGCCCACTCGAGCTGGGGCGGGGCTTACCCTAGTAGGGCGGGGCCTGTCTGAGTCAGGGGCGGGGCAGCAAGGGACCGGAGTGGGAAGAAAGTCTGCCAGACCTTCCTGTCGGATGCGGACGTGGCCTCCGGGTCTCAGCTGACGGCCTCCGAGTTCCCAGCTCCCCGTGGTCTCGACCTCCGACACGGTGCACTCGAACGTGGCGCCGTCACCTTCGCGGGCGCGAACAGACCGGAGCTCGGAGAGCACAGACACTTTGCGTTCTGGGGCGGAGCGGGAGGCGTGAGGTGGGGCGGGGCGGAACCCGACCACGCCCACGCTCCGCCCTTCTCTCTGGAAGCACAGCAGTCAGTCGGGTCCGCAGCCCCCGCGCACACAGCATTGCCCAGCCCCGGCAGCACCCGGAACCCACCGCGCACAGCCAGGCGGACGGGCCCGGCGCGAGCCGCCCCCACTGCACAGCTGTAGGTCCCGGCGTCCAAGGGGCTGCATCGCCGCAGCTGGAGAAGGCGACGCGTGCCGAGGGCCTGGAGCCTGAGCCGAGGGCTGGGGGTGAGGAGGCACCCGTCCTAGGGGCGAGAGTTGCAGAGGGTCAGGGTGAACTCCGCTGGACACGGTCCTGGGAGGCGGCGGCGGCGCCCTCTGTTGTCAGGCGGCTTCCAGGCGCGTTTTTGCCTTTCTGGCTCTCAAGCTGGGATCTGGCTGTCCCAAGCCTTCAGGGCCTCGCTGAGAGCGACGAGCCTTGTTGGGAAGGTGTCCCCTTTGGGGACGTTAGGGCTCTACCCCTTTTGTCTGTCCCTGGGCAATACTTAACCCCACTGAGCCTCAGGCTCCTTCCAGGTAACACTGAGATCGCAAGACCTTCCTCATAGGGCTGTTGTAAGGATTAGAGGTTTAAGTGTAAAGTAAATGTAAATCTGAGCACAGTGCCAGGCACACCCCTACAGTGAATATTAGTTGTTTCCCTCCTTATGATGCCAAGGTGGGCTGGGCTCTGACCTTCTCCCAGGTGACATCAGCCAAGGCCTGAGAAAGCTCGCACTCCAATGTAGCTGTATCTCCCTCGGTCACCTCTAGGTCCTGTAGCCCCCGCACAATGGTCACTGGGGCCTCTGGGAGTGGGAGATGGAAGACATACTTGGGCACAGGGGTCAGTGGTGGACACATTTAGGAAAGGTGATCAGTGGAGGCCACTAGTGAGGCAGAGAATGTGCTGGGGATCCAAGTGGGATGCTGGTCAGTGGAGGATAGGACAGGGCCATGGGGGTCAATGGGACAGGAGTGACCAACAGGGGGTGTCATACTTTAAGGTGGCCAGTGGGGGACATGCTGGGGCTAGAGGGGCATGGCGTGGCGACCAAAGCAGAAATGCCAGTGGAGTCACCCATAGGCAAGCATGGTCGGTGAGGAGGACTACACTTGGCTGGAATGGACAGGTGACACTGGCCAGTGGGGAACATGATGGGTTCAGAAGGGCAATGGGGATAACTCTAGAACAGGTGCAGTTGGAAGGGAACACGGTGGGCTGGACAAATGGGGGACACTCAAGCAGAGTTGCTAGAGGGGTCATCCTCAGGCAGTTAGAGGATCACTAGGACTGGAGTGGCCAGAGAGGCCCAATGAGGCAAGCAGTGGGGGGGGGTCACAGCAGGCAGGTGTGGTCAGTTGGGTCACACTCAGAGTGGTCAGTGGGGCCATGGTCAGGCAGGCAGACAATAGGGACCACACCAGCACAGGCTGGCTCACAGTGGCACGGTCAGTGGTTTGCAGGGACCAGAGGTCAGTGGAGTCACGCTGGATGATCAGATGGGTCAAAGGAGTCACACTCAAGCAGGGCAGTCTCTGGGGCCACACGGGGCCAACGTATCAGGGGTGTCACACTCTGACAGGCTTGGTCAGTGGGGGCCACACAGGTAGGGGGATCAGTAGAGTCACACAGTCGGTAGGCAGGCAGTGGGCACAGCATCCGCACCTCTCACAGTGAGTCTGGCTGCACAGCGCAGGGAATCCACGGTGAAGGAGACGCAGCCCGAGTCGGCCGGGCCCAGGCTGCTGAGCACCAGGCGGTGAGTGCGGCCCTCAGCATGCACGTGGCACTTGGGCCCCTGCTGCAGCCGCACTCCACCCCGGGCCCACTCCCCAGACACACCCTCCTGGGACAGCTCCAGCTGGAAGGTGGCACTGCCCCCCTCAATGATGGTCGTATCCTCCAGAGGCCGCAGCACCCTCAGCTGCTTCGCTGATTGGGGGAGATGGAGAGAGAGGGAGAATGAGGGCTCCAGCTCTGAGCAGGGGTTTTGAGGGCTCACGCACCCCCTTGGCCCTGCTGTACCACCCCTACCACCCAACC